AATTTAAAATGTTTATGTTGGCCAAAAATCATAAATTTTGACTGTAGGTTGACCACAGTTGACTTTTTATCCAATACATTTGATTTTCAGTCATCTGGTCAATTGATTGAGCAAAATTGTGATTCAAGACTTGAAACTTGACATGAGTATTCTTTGAGGTCTATAATTATCCATGAAAGTCATTTTAGGCATTAGAAGTCCAATTATCCTTGTGAAAATCAAAACCTTAATTTGAGGCATCAGTGTTTAGGAGATGGTTTGACCTAGTCAACACTTGTGCAAACTTGAGCTATTAGAGATCTTGTGTGAAATGTCTTGAGAAAAGAGAGGGAAAATTTTTTGGTACAACACATGTTATTTCAATAAAGGTAAAATTATTTTATTTTACTTGCAGAACAAAGTCATTGATTCAATCATCTTTGTGTAAGTAATCTTGCTACAGGTTTATATTGACACTCCTAAACTTGATATGATTTAGAAGACCTTCAAGTATTTTCATCATAACTTAAGGTGCAAGTTACATTTATAATATGAGGGGTTATTTTTAAATTGCACTACTGAAGAATTATTGGAGTAATTGTTTGGATGGTCTGCCAAATATATTCTTTTACCTAGTGAAGTGTGCAATATCAGAAGAATCATTTTCAATGGCATGGAAATGTCATTTCAAATGTTGTAACATTTTTCAAGGATTCAAAGCTTGGATAGAGAGAAAGATACAGAATAACGTGTATTTATCCTATGGTGAGTGGTTCACTATTACTAAGGGTGATCTTATCTTATTCCAAAAACGCTTTCATTAATTGGAGTGTTTTTACAAGCAAGGTTTTGTTACAGTCTAGGTAATTTTCCTTGTATTTAAAGACCTTACAACCTCACCATCCTCATAAGTTGCGTTTTAACATTACTGATGCAAAAGAAAACTCTTATGCTGGAAATCAAGAAGGAAGTGGGTTTTGGATCAAAGAAAGTAGTGTTCAGCATTGAAACAAATGTTGTAAGATCTACTGGAACATCTAGGATAGGGAAAAAACCTATAATCAAGGTGAAGTCCCTAAAGAAGAACCATGTTCATAAACATGATTCAGACTCAGATGCTGATCATAATTGGGTCAATTTCATTGACTCAGTAGGGTGTTTTAGATTGTTGTTATATGCTACCTATTAACAAAAAACCAAAAAAAAAGGTGTATTTGTTTTCTTTTCTGTTTTTATTGAGTTTGTTTTTATTTATAGTCTTGTTTATTTCTTTCAGCTAGTTAGTTTTAGTCTCTTAGAAGAGACTGAGTTTGTTTGAGGGAGTCATTTTTTTTCTTTTTACCCTTAATTTATGTCTCTTTGAGTGAGTTAATTTTTTCTTTCTTCCTTCCTTTTGAGTCAGTTTTGGTGCAATTGGTCTTGTATCAAGCATATAGTATGTATGTTTTATGTCTTTAGTCTGTTTTAAGTCCTTCCTTGTTTGTCTTAAATCAATTCTTGCTTCTATTGATTTGCAGTGTGTCAGTTTCTTTTCATTTTGTTTTTGTCAATTTTTGGCTAATAAGGGGGAGAAAAGGTGTCATTGAGTCTAGTCAAGTGTTGTTGGCTTTGAGCAACACTTTAGGATTGTCTGAGTCTGTTTGTATCTTATTTATGTTACTACTTTTGTTGTAGTTGTTGTAGGATGTCTTATAGGACGTTACAACATCATGTCTGGTATGTTGTGTCTTGTGTTCTAAGTTATGAGCATTATTGTGTCTTGTGCTTTGAGTTATGAATGTTTTTTCTTCTGCATGTTCTTTTAATGTACTATGTTCTTGAGATGGAGATTTATCTCTCTGTGACAAGAACTAGTTTTTTGTTTGAGGGGGAGTAATGTCTATCTTCTTCCTCATGTACAAAAATTACATGTTTAGCATGTAGCTTATGTTGTGTAACGGTTGTATCTCTGATACATTTATGTGCAGTTTGATTTGTGGTTTTATTCTTTTGTGGTTTTATTCCTGTGTGGTGTTATTCCTCTCTCCAAGTGTATTTGGGCTTTTGGTTGTTTTTAGACAAAATTTGCCAAAGGGAGAGATTGTTAGTTCTATGGTTTTGAGGTTGGCATAATTTTGCTAAAACATGGTTCTAGACAGATGTTGAGCAAGATGTAATGATATCTTGTTTTGTTATGCAGCAGGAAGGCGCTACTGTGTTTAAATCTTGACAAATTTAATTGGATTATGTGATATTCTTTTTGAATATCTCTCAGTAAATTTCGCAGGTCAAGAAGATTTGTTTTGGAACAAGTTTTATATCTCCAAATGTACATTAGTTACTAAATTGGGCCTTGAAACAATTTAGGAAACTTTGTATTGGTTGTTCCAAGATTTAAGGAGATTGTGCTACACAATTGGTGCATCTCATCTTATGAATCAAGAAACTTCTGGATGCACAATTCGAAGCCCATGGACTGCATATGTGTATTTAAAGAGAAGGCCTAACCTAATGTAATTTAGTTCTTTCAACAATTGTAAAATTAGGGGAAGAAAAAATAGTCTTACATTTTGAGAGTCTCTTGTGTATTGTGTGTTTTATGTCACCCTTGTATCTTTTGATACTTGTGGTTGACATTATGTTCTCACTCATAAGCCTTCGGGGAATGAGTAGAGTATTGTTCTTGTGGATACGATAAAACCATAAATTCTTTACTTTTGTCTGCTGCTTTACCGCAACAACATAGACATCATCACAAAGATCAAAATGTTACAAGAAAGTATTTATTTGTATGCTTGAATAGAAAGTTGTGGCATTTTGAAATTGACAAAAAATCTTGACTTTACAAACTTGAAAATTTCTAAGTTAAAATGCCTTAACATGACTTGTAATGTATCAATGAATTCCATGGTATTCCAAGTAAAATTAGAGCTTGACCATTCAATAGAAGTTGTAGAGGGCATAAAGGAGAACATTTGCAAAAATAATGGGCCTCAAATGATAAAAATTGAACAAGTTATGATTCTTGAAAGTTGGGTAAAAAATCACTTGGAAATAGGTCAAAATTTCACCAAGTCCACAAATAACATATAATGTCTTCAAACTTTTGATGATCTTCCTCACATAATTAGCTATTGACTAATAAATAGAAGTTGTAGAGGGTGTCAAGAAGATTCATATGAAAAAATAACCATTCAAAAATATTGAATAATGAAGGAGTTGTGGTCTTGAGAACTTTGACTTGAAAACTTGCCAAATTAGGTCAAACCACCTTGCATAACTTTGATACTTTTGATCTTTTCTTGCATCTGAGAGCATAATGAGACTCATATGAACTTATAATGATGAAATCTTCATTGAACTTTGATTGATAATGTCCATGCTTAAGGTTACTTAATGATGAAGGCATGGAAATAAACACATGAACCTTTAACCTATCTCTAGGAATAAGCAACCAATCTTTGGGCATCTCTTAATCAATTGAGATTGAATGATACTTGAAGATGATATTACCTAATATTATAGGTCAATACCTAATGCACAAGTCCTTGAGAATCAATGTTGATGGCACTTTGACTTTGATCAGATGAAAACCCTAGCTGGAGGAATTTGTTTGATCTACTTGGTTCACACTTGTCCTTACAAAACAAATAAAAGGAGACATGCCGTATTTTTGTGTTTTGATTAGAGGTTGGTAAAATATGAAACATGTATAAATAAATGTACAAGATTCACAATAGGGTGCTTGGTGATCTCACAAAGGCAATCTTAAAAGAGAGGGAAAGCAAAGGTTAAGGGGCAACCTATGGTTATGATCTTGATGTGTTGCAAAAATGCAAATGGGATGAGATCTTAAGGGAAAAAATTAGGGTATGGCAGACACATGTGTCAATGTTTTCCAAAAATTGTTTTCCATATCATTACATGTGTCGGCACATAGAGTACATGTGCCGACACATGTGTTAGAATTTTTCAAAAAATATTTTTCTTTTAAAACTTCTTGGTTTCCTTTTTACCCCCGACTTGCACACCTATATATATATATATATATATATATATATATATATATATATATATATATATATATATATATATATATATATATATATATATATATATATATATATATATATATATATATATATATATATATATATATATATATATATATATACTTCATACATGCATCTTTTTTCATTTTTGATGAAACTATAAACACATACTAATATTGATCACCATCTTCAACCTTGCATTTATGCATACACACAAACAAAGTACACATAATTATTTATTGTTTGGGTGTTATCTAGACTTGTGTTGATAACTTTCAATTTAGGTTGGTTGTAACCTAATGTTGGATTGAGAATCATATAGGGTTTCATCGAAAAAATGATGAGATTTTTTACATCGAGATCAAA